TATCATCGTTTAGAGGACATGTTCATGTCCTTTGATTATTATTTCATATTCGATTGAATTACAAGCATTCCAAATACATATACTTCAACCCACGTGTCTCAATAGAACATGTGTTAAAACGGGTAGTTTAAATGCATACTAAATTTTTCACTTGTCTTCGTGTCCATAGAAACCTCATGGCATGCAATCGAAAAGAATCCCACTAGATAGCACTCTTTTCTTTATTTTTAGAGTATCGTTGATGAACAAAAATAGCGAAGTTACATATTGAGGTAGTGAAAGCTTGCAAAATGGACAACGAGTAACAACTTCTCAGGCCCCTAACCTTATAAAATCAATTATGCTACATGTACAACTAGTTTGACAATGTATGAATTAGATGGAATCCTGACCATTGATTCGAAAAGGGAAAATACTTCTTGTACATTACTATTTACATAATGTTCTACATAATGATGAAATGTCAAAATGTAAGTGGGGAGTTATTTGATTGATAATATTTTAATTCATTTAAATCTGACTACATCATTTTTGGTAAATCATTACATCAGTTGTTATGTACACGTAGCACAATAGTTTGAAAAACCATTTTTTAAATCAATGATCAGGATCTTTACACTTCACATATTATCAAATTAGTTGTATAAAGTCATTGTACGACTAGGTTAATTATTAGTAAAAGTAATAATGTGTCTTTTTTATTAAGCGCATGTTTGGTGGGATTAAAATAAGATTTTTCGTTAATTCTGATAAAATTAATGAAATGTGTGATTGAAAAGTTATGAATCTCATGAAACATGCGATTAAAATTAATTGTTCATTTTGACTTAAATTAAAATCTAAATTTTAATTTATACCAAACAATGACCGAATAAAATAAGATAATTGAAGAGTGCTACTCTGCTATACTAGTTGTAAGTCGTCGAGACTGACTACTAAGCCCCTTTTTGGCCTTCATCAAATTAAATTATATTACATTAAATTTTTCTCTCTCTTCATTACAATCACACATTCATCAA